CTTGTAGTTAAATGTAGTTTACTTACTCCACATGCCCAATAATAATCCCTCCAAAAAACAAAAATAAATTAGTTATTTTCAATCCACGACTGTTTGTGGGACACTACTGTGCCCAATTGGCTGCTGCGTTTCGCCTACTATTATATGGTCAATTCACTTTATAGTCTATTCTGTGAAGTGCTTTGAGATGTCGAGAACATGTGAAAAGTGCTATATCAAATGCAAGGATTATTATTATTATTGTTATAAATGCATTACTTTGAGTAAAGCACAGATTTACTACTTTAGGCATTACTGCTCTGCACTGTTAATCAACAGTGAGGGAGAAATTCCATCTGGATATAGATTTACTCTATTTATATAGCATTTCAGATCTGGAAATTGTGATGCTAGAAATTGCCAATTCTTAAATCCAATCTTTATTCTGAAGTTGGATGTCTGTAAGGGCTTTTAAGAACTACAGAAAACCGGCTTCAAAGTTAAGACTGAATTTGCCAAATTCTGCACTCTCTGAAACACTTTAAGAAAGGAGTAAATCTAGTCCTAAATGGAATTCCTCCCTTGGTATTCAAAGAACGCACCCTTAATACCACAGTAGCACTGGTAGAATTGAAGATAGGCACGTCAAGAATGTAAGTTGAGCCCTTCAGTCAGCTTGTTATCATTGAGTACATTGTACAGTACAGGCTGAGCCTAGTATTACTATTTAATCATGTTTGTAACTGTATTTATGTGCAAACCTATCGCTAAATTTCCAATACACTTTCAATTCATTTTCTGTCATTCTTTGAGAAATGCCTAACATATTTCAGACAGTTTGAAACAATCATAAACTTAGCGATTGTTTTATTACAAAGAAAGCTGGATTGAAAGCAAGAATTCCCTATTTCTGTTGACAAAGTGAAGTGGATCATTGTGTAATATCGCTCACATGTTACAGCACTTTATCAATCATGCCTGTTTCACTTTTGTAACCAGTGGACACAAATCTAAGATAACGACTAGGAATTTAAAAGAGAATTTAGGAGGAACTACTTTACGCAGAGGGTAGTGAAATTGTGGAACTTGCTGCCTAAAGCGTCAGTTGAACCAGATAGTATAGATGCATTCAAGAGGAAGCAAAACCTTGAATTGAGGGAGAGGGGAATAGAGGGTATGTGATTGCAATAACAAACCTGTACCGGCTCATAGAGCAACAAAATTGCTTCAATCCCATCTCTCTGCCTCATTCCCATACCCTTTCAAGGCCCTCTATTTCATATATCTATCTACTTCCCTCTTGGAAGCTACAATGGATTCCACCTTCACCGCCCAAATGGACAGCATGTTTTCACAGTTGATAACAAACTGGAATGCATAGGATTCAGACAATCTGATCACTGTATTTTCAAATACAGTAACATCTATGTTACATTATGTCAAATAATTTTATGTAATATGAATGCAAATCTTTCAGAGGAAATGTAGTTCAATATAAATGTGGGTTTGACAACTGAGCTAGGCTGACCTCTTATTTTAATTGTAAGGAGTCATGTAACATAGAAAATCAGAGATATGCCTTTCTACTTAAGGATGGCTTTAACCAGAATTTGATGACTTTGCTTACTGGTTACTGGGTATGAAATGACAAACTAACCAACATCGGTTTTCCAGCTTGGAAGCCTCTCAGCATATGTTTCTGACATAAGAATACTTTACTTCACTTATAAAATGTTACACCTCTCGTTCTGCACTGAAATAAGTACTCTTTTTGCAGGAAGGCAAAAGTGAACTATGAAATTCCTGAAAATCGAGCAAATCTGTATAGTGTATCAATGAATAATGTAGAAAGATATATGTTGTCAATAAATCAGTCACACCAACACGACATAGATTATCATGAAACATAAAAAAATTTTTGAAAAAGAAACATCCCAAATCCAGATGCACAGACACATACTATTCCATAAAGTTGGAGGCGGAGCAGAAAGACAGTTTGTGGAGTATAATGATAACATCTATAAAGGAGTAATCTGATTTAATTAAGTGTATGCCATGTCATAGTCATACCTAACTCTCATATAGTAGTAACTTACACAAAGGGCGCTTTGAGATCCAGGCAACAGCTCAGCCAAACTGCTCCATTAGCAGTCAGATAACCCCATGAGGTACATGAAATTTGGCATAGTTCAGAAGCAGCAGCTGCTGTGGGCAGTCAAGAGGATAATGTGGTTCTTCAGCTAAAAACAAAATCCCCTTTGGGTCTCTTCACAGATCTGAAACTATGAGAAGACCCGGAGTAAGAAGGATCTGGCATCAGAATTCTCCTTCCTATTAGATTTGTTCCTTAACCATAAGCACACAGGCAGATTTTGATACTTTGTGTTGCAGTATGCCACTAAGCTTTAAGATTCAGGGCTCTCCTGATGACCACATCACTAAGTCATACAGACTAGAAGTGCATGAGTTTTCCACCCTATGTTGTTAGCAGAACTCAGCCAAGGCAGCAATTGGGAAATTACAATTGACCTCTGCACCCCTGAACTAGAGAGAAGCAAAATCAGTTTCTATATTACAGAAAAAAAGGTTAATTTTGTTTTTGACATATATTATTATTGGATACCAAAGTCCAAACTACACCAGACAGAAGGGATTCCGCTTCAGATGCGGATACAGAGGCGAAATGACACAGAGTTAAATAGGCCAAATCCTAGAGTCTTAATTTTGAAGGCAGTTTTCTACACATTCTATTAAGAACTGAACAAAGAATCTATAAATGAGTCTATTCCCATCTTTCGGATGAGATGTTCAGCCTGCTCAGGTGGATGTTAAAGATTCCATACTGATATTCAAAAAGAGAAGGGAGTTTCTCGCACGTCCTGGCCAAAAATGCCCTAAATAAAATTGATCACTCACTCATGGCAATTTTGTGTGATATTGCTGCCTGCAAATTGGCTATTGCATTCATCAATCACTACACTTTACAATAAATCTTGTGAAGTACTCTAAGATGTTTCAGCGATAGGGGTTGCATCAAATGCAAAGATTATTATTTACTGTATTGTTATTATATGGCAGACCATCACTGGATAAATATATCTTGTAGGTGTTCTGGGTGTAACCTCTATTTATTGATATCACCTCACTTAAAACTAAGCAGGGTTATTCTGCTTCAGGCACGCCTTATAGCATATTGGTTGATGGGAGTTAAGCATTAATTCTCTTCCGTTCAGATTTTTTGCCCCACATTTTCACCCTTGTGCTCTTATGAATAATTCCAAATTTGTTAAAGGCTAATTTCATTTTATGATGGGAAAATACAATATTCCTAAAAATATAATATTTCTTAATTACCGCTGTTCCTGCATTAAGGGACACTTTATTGACTGAACATAAAAACATGTCCTTAAACCTGACTTCACAACAAACACATTTGTGACTGAATGCTCCCCCACCTCCAGGAGAATGGATTTACTCAGTCTCTGAAGAATCAAGAAATTAGAGACATTTTTTTCAAGCACATGAGGATTGGGGCCTTTTATTCTTTGCTGTGGAAGCAGCAATTCAACCCTGCTTCATCAGATACAGCCTTATTATTAAGGAAAATTGAAAGGCTGCTTCCACAGCATTCTCTCTATCTCACACTTGCAAATCTTTCATTGTTGGTCTATGATTTTCTCCGCAAACTCAACCCTCAATTTACTTGACTTTGTTTCTCCCTCTTCCCTTTAAAAATCTGGCCTTTTTCAATCTATTACCTGTATTTTTGTCTCTTCTTTCCCTTTTTTCTATTTTGGAAAGGAACCTAGCGAGAATAATTCTGATCACTGTCTTCCAAATGCTCCCCAATCTCTACATCATTTCAGCTTGCATAATCTGGTACAGTTTGGGCAGGAATAATCCAAACACCACTTGCTAGCCTGAAATTCTGTAGGAATTCACATATTGTTGAAGGGCGTTGCAGCACGGAAAAAACCTATAAGCCATTCTCCAACTGGTTTGCTGACAGACTGCACAATTAATTCTGATTGAAATAACTATGGTAATTCACTTATGCCCTCAAAACATAATGAAATATAAGCTTCAACATTAAATGGAGCAAAGTGTGTATCAAAGAACGTTTAGCAAGCTTGTTGCATTTGCAGAGCAACAAAAAATAAACTCGCCAAAACAAATCTTTGTCACAATGGCATCGCATGCACGTAATGTGATGAAGATTCAACAGGATTCCAATGATGTGTGTTTAGCAAATAGTTGCTTAGGAGGGAATTGGCCTTTTAATGCCCAACTAATAAAAACAAAAAATCCTTGCATTTGATAGAATGCCTTATAACATCAAAACAGCTCAAAGCACTTCAATGGATTTACTGTAAATTGTAGTGACTATGTATTTGCAGCCAAACACAGCCATGTTCCACAATATCCATGAAGTGAATGAATAAATTTTTTTAATCTAGGGAATTCTTAGCCAGGATACGGGAGAAGTCTATTCTCTTTTCGAATAGTGCCATGAGATCTTTGACATCCAATCGAACAGGCATATGCAACCTCTAATTAACATCTCATCGAAAGGAAAGCACATCTGACAATAAAGCGCTCCCTCAGTACTGCATTGGAGGGTCAACCTAGACAATGAGCTCAAATTCCTAATGTAGGGTGTAAGACCACAACCTTCTGGTTCATTTGTGAGTAATGTTGCAAGCCTGACATCATTTTGCATAAGATGAAAGATGTTAAGCTTTAATAGATACACAAAACACAAAATATTGCAGATGCTGGAAATCTGAAACAAAAACAGAGAGAGCTGGGAAAACTCAGCAGATCAGGCAGCATCTACGGAGAAAGGAAAGTGAGTCAACATTTCGGGTCCACGACCCTTCATCAGAACTTTAACAGATGACAGCCGGACTTAAGTACTGTTGTAAAATTTACGATGTTCGTGAACCCATTTCTTGCATTAAATAGCACAGGAAAGGGTGTGGATTGATGTGTATTGTCTATTGCTTATAGAAACCACTTACCCAATTCTTATTTTCCTCACGATCACAAATGTCTCGAATTCTTTCCTTCACAGCTTCTTCAGTGGGCTGAACCACCACACAGCCACTGCTGAGCAGGGATGCAAGCTGTTCTTTGAATGCCTCCAGCTGGCTTTGAGCTGCTTTGGCCTCATGCAGATATGGCTGCAAACGTCCGACTAGCTCGTCGGAATGCTTTTTCCAGTTTGCTATCTCCAATGTAGAGGCTTTACAGACTCGTTGGCTTGCTTCAAGTCTGTCCTGCAGGATTTGGGTTTCTCTTTCTAGGTGGTGCTTAGCTTCCAATACTTTGTTCAAATCCTGAAAAATTATAAACAAAAAAATGGAGGCATACGAATAAAAAGTAAAATATATGCAGTACCCACTATTTGTAACGTATGTGTAACTTATAAAATAAATCCTTGTATTTCACAGCAGAACGTCTCAAAACGCTTCACAGATTATAGTCACTATAGTGATGTAGGGTAGTGATTGTGTATTTTTTAGGCAAACAGGACTGATTTTATACAAAAGAGACTTTATACTTTTCATCTTGCAATATGGAAAACAATCACAGTTATTGTAATTAATATAGTTCAGTGTTTGTAATATCATTTCAAAGCATTAACCATAGGGATGCAATTGCCTTCATGGTCGGATGGCAAATGCCTCCAGCTATACAGGCAGAATCCCAGGTGCAATCCTTGTGCTCAGTTAACCAATTTCAGCAGGAGTAGCTACTAGGGATACGACACTTGACTTCAATATCCTCAGGCTAAGGAGGAAGAATATCCTTCATTCTGTCTGATGCCTGATTGTTTTCCAGCAATTCATACTGTGAGAATGTGCCCTTGAGTTTGAGTGTGTGTGAGAGTGTATGTATAAAATAGAGGACGCTCATAAAATGGTGCACTAGCTTTACAAGCTGAATGGCCTCCTGTTCCTATACACTCTTATCTTGTAGTACAGCTTATTGGGTCTGTAGGTACTGTAGGTAAAATGTATAGCTAAAATTTATGCCATCTAATAGATATGTTCGCCTACAAAATACAAAGTCACTAATCTCTATAGTAAATCCTGCAATGCGCTTTAAGAAGTCCTCCTATGTGAAAGGCACTGTATCAAATGCAGGGTGATTATTATTATTAATTCTTAACATTATTACTAATGAGGCAATGGGTTAATTATTAGTAGCTTTTCTCCATCCAGTGACTTTTGGGGTTTACTTTGTTTCCTGTTCTTAAATGGATTGGATTAATATAATTCCTACGTTCAGCATAAGGCACATCATCCATAACCTGCTCATTATCTACTATGCTTATTTCAAAATGCTTACATTAAAGAGAAAGGAGTGTCTGTACAATAAAATCAAACAGACTAAAAGTTAGAAATGGAAACAGAAACGAGACTGCTATATGTTCCTGATTATGTAATAACGCATATTATAGGCCTAAACAAAGAATTTCTTTAGCATTTTAATAATGCTTCTTATTAAAGAGAAAAGAGAAAGGTTATTTTGTTAGAGGGGAATATGATCTTGTTACAGGCCCTTTGTACCTTATGAAGGGTCTCCATTTTCTGCAAATAGGAAGCAGCAGTTTTCTGCTCCCTTCCCACCTCAGATACTAGTCTCATGATAGTTTCTCGGCTTGCTTTTGACTCCACATCATGGTTTCCGATTGTCTCCTCCAAATTGGTGATCTGACAATTTTTTCTGGTGTTTTCTTTGTACAGCTCTTCAACCTAAGAAGGGAACATATGAGAAGAAGCGCATACTCCTTTGTACCATACAAAGTCAGGAGACAATTCTCTTGGCAATGTCAGCAGCAGGCTTAAGCAATCAGATCAAGAGAGGAGATACAGTCAAGTTTCCAAAACTGTGCACGTTTCGGTCTGTGATAGTCAGAGTTATCTCCATATGTAACATCAAATAATTTTAGAATGGAGTTGATGAGGTCTTTGGCTGTATTCATCATTAGTATTAACATCATGCGCTGTTAAGGTCCCAAGATCTAAAGCTTCAAAATCCAGCAAACCCTTATTTTTTTCGAACTAGGTGAGCTTCAATGCTTAACAACAACAACATTACATTTGTAAAGCGCCTTTCATGTCGGGAGGACGTTCCAAAGGTGTTGGATAGTGTACAGCATTTCAGACCCGAGTTGGGGTCAGGGGGGGAGAAGTGAGGGGAGGGGAAGAGGGGTGGCTGATGGCATGGTCGAAGAGGAGGGTCTTGAGGTGGGACTTGAAGGAGGCTAAGGAGGGGGCGAGGCGGAGTGATTGGGGGGTGGAATTCCAGAGGTTGGGGGCAGAGTGGCTGAAGCCTCTCCCATCAATGGTGGGGTGGGTGGATCAGGGGACGTGAAGCAGGCCAGAGCCGGCTGAGCGGAGGGAACGAGCAGGTTGGTAGGGGTTTAGGAGGTCGCAGAGGTAGGGTGGGGCGAGGCCATGGAGGGCTAAGTGCAACAAAATAAAAAACAAAAGCTTTAGGGTTCACATAATATGCTGTGGATCAAGAAAAATTCAGCAAAATCTATTGGAAAGGTTTGTTCTATATCTACAGATTGGTAAACAATAGGGTGAAATTCTGAAATGAAAGCAACATTTCCGATCTTGAGGATATACATTTAAATCCCATTCTAAGCATAAGATGACAAGACATCTAAGTACGGACCAGTGGAATTTCATTCTCTATGTCTATTATAATTTGATATCAACATCTATATCATCTATATCTATATGCATTGCAATCTAAATATAATTTCCAAAAAAACAGTAAAAATAACAGAGCAAAGATACTTCCTAAGATAACTAAACCAAAGAATGATCTAAAATTGCTGCATGTGTTAATTTTATGTTGTAGACAGGCTGACGTATTGACAACAACAAAGGTATGATCAAGGGACCATTCAGAAGGCAGTGAAAGACTTCCGGAAGTAAACAGCACATGGAATTATTTATAAGAGATGGCTTTTGCTTGTTTTTGCTTTTGCTTAATTATTTATTAGGATCTAGAACTTGGTTTTGGTGGGCAGAATTCTGCTCATTGGAATTTAGTTAAGCGATATTTGAGGGACTAATATATCATGTTTAAACAGATATGTTTATATTAATAAATATATCATGAATGTCATTCTTTGTACGTCAATATCCAGATAACTCTTGTAACATATTTCTATTAGAGTCACCCTGGCTCAGATGATAGCACTTTCTCTGAGTCAAAAGTTTATGGGCTTAAGACCCATATCAGGACTTTGAGCTCACAGTCTAGGCTGACACTCCAATACAGTGCCGTATTCTTGAAGATGCCGAGCTTCAATAAGACATTAAACCTGCCTTTCACGTCCCCTTTTTACTGCACTGCAACTGTGCATTCACTTTACAGTACACTTTACTGTGAAACGCTTTGAGACGTCTAGAAGACTTGATAAGGTGCCATATCAAAATGCAAAAACTATTATTATTATTTATTCACTATTAAATAAGAATGTTCTCCAAATGTGGTTCAAACTGAGAGCAGGGCTGGATTCTATCAAGATGCGGGGAGGTCTTTGAGGCATTCGAAACAATCTCTTTTAAAATATTTTTGGCACCCTATTAACGATAGGATTGTGTATTCAAATATTGGAGATGTTTAAAGATGTTATAGAAATCGTTTTAGCTAACGAATTACTAATCCTGTCCCCACTCAAAGAAATTGTTTTTTGGGTGGATTAAAAGACACCTAATTGCTGATAAAACCTTTAGCTCATTTTTCTTGTTCCAAATTAATATCAAAATCTCTGAGTCCCAAGTGACTGAGACTGTTCCAAACGTTTGATCTCATGTTCCAAACTATAATGACATACTGCTGGGAAGTATTGTGATCGGAGGCTCAGGATACAATCAGTCTTCAGAAAGAATGCTTTAATAACCTGCCAAAGTGTAGATGTTAAGAGTTTTACTTTTGTCCTTGTTCTGTAGAAATGTCATTGTCTGCTTCTTTCTGGAACAGATACATTTGTGCAATCATGTCGCTATGATGCTTTATGATGCTAAAGAAAAGGTAAATGATGTCCTGCCAAAATAGTGAAAGATTATTCCACTGGTTGGGAAATCAGTAACAATGGGCATAATTTGGATTATCACTGGGAAAATTAAGGAGGGATATTAGAAAAATTGTTTTCATGCAGAACCTTATCTAGAAAATCGATCAATTTTGCCACAAATCACAATTGTACATATGTTCACTTACAAGGAATTGATAAAGTATTTGAAAAGGAACAATGTAGAAAGGTATTGAGATTGTTTAGACTAGATATCATATTTGATGGACTGAATGTTCTCCTGTGTTCTAATTTCTAAATTACCTGTACCACAAGGAAATCCAGAGGGTCATCTACTCCATTACAATCCACATTAATCCTGTTGGTGAGTTTCAGCAGAAAATCTTCATATTCTTTCCGTTTTCTGAAAGCTTCCTGTTTGGCTTCATCACACTCAGTTAAGTATTTCCTGACAGGTAAAATGTGAAGGTATCCATGATTATTGATTATTTTTCTTTATTCACAACATAATTTATACTTTTTTTAAAAATCTTATGTTTTACAATAGTTTAACTGTTTCCCTCAGATGCTAAGCTTTGAGCAGGAATGTCTGGCTAGATTGTGAGTTCAAAGTCCACACGTGGATATTTTGTTGAAGAAGCAAGAGCGCTACCAACTGAGCCAACCTGAACTTATAGTGACTGGATTTTCACACAGTTATAAAAGAGACAACAGATGTGAAGGGGTTAATTCCCCAATCATCCATGAATTTACCAACCTCAGCAATACGTTTGGTCTGTAAATCTACTGTCCTCAGTAGGGAAACTTCAATCCCATTATTAACGCACACTTCCAAAGCCAGGAAATTTGCCAACCTGTGGAGAACCCTCTCAGCTATATCCCTCTACTCACCTGGGATTTCGTAGTAGTATTACCTCAATTTAGTCTCTAATTCCATATTATTTTTCTGGAGTTCCCGTTTTTCTTTTTGTAAGGTTTGAACAGTTACTTCTGCGAGTGCCTTTGATGTGACAAGCTCTCCAGATTCATTCTCTCTTTCTTGGATCCTTTCCCTCAGGCAACTGATAAGAAAACCCTGCCTTGCATTGTTTTCCTTGTAGCTTTGAACTTCGGCCTTCAGCTCCTGGATATAGGTTTCGCTGGTTGCATGTCGGCTGCAGATATCTGTAAGCTGTGACAAGGCAATTACAGTGGTTATATTACTGTCAATTACTCTTTACTCAAATATGCTTCTAGAAAAGTAAAGCTATTAAGTTTGCAATTTTATCTGATCCAAAATAATACAATTCAAAACAATCACCATTCTGGAATTTATTGTATTCATAACTAATAAATCATGAAAATGTCCTAGATTTTAGAAATATATTGAGTACTGATGAAGCTCTCCTGAACAGAATTAGAAATATCTGTTAAGTGTGGTGCTGCCCAGTCAACTGAATCTACGAAGTAGAATGAAGTAGACTTGGAGTTACTTCAGAACAATACAATAATTTATGTAGCGCCTTTAATGTCGGAAGGATGGCTCATAGGACTTCACACAGCTGACTGAAGCCCAAGCAGAGTGGGCGGGGGGAAGCTGAGGAGGGGAAAGGTGACTGACAGATAGGTTTTAAGGGGAGAGAGCTGAAGGAGGAGAGGGAGGGACAGGTAGCGGGTCTGTCCCTGGAGTTTCAGGGTAGTTGAAAACCTGTAGAGCTTGGAGAGCCAGCAGCGAACACAAAGCAGGTCGATGCTTGCTGAGCAGAGGGATTGACCGTGGCAGTAGGATCACAAGAGGTCGCAGAGGTAAGGTGGTGGTGAGGCCGTTTGAATGTGTTTACATTCAAGTATTCTTAATTCAATACACTCTCAGATACATCAGCCAGCAGAGCCAAGCAAGGCTCATGGAAATTAGTGCAGGAGAGGACACGGACTGTAGAACTCTGGATGGTCTGTAATTTATAGGGAAGAAATGGGGAGTCTGGTGAGCGTGGCATTTGAATAATTGAGCCTGGAGGTGATGAAGATGTAGATGAGGGAGTCAGCAGTGGGGGAGTCAGGCTGGTTCAAAGTAGGTTAGTCTAACTCAAGCACATTTCAAAGTCGCAGTTAGTACCACTCTGTAATCAGCGAACAGAAGGTGGATAGAGTGACAGCTCTTAATATCTTTTAAAATGCGTAACTTTTTTTAAAAAACAAGACTTGAGTTCGGAATGCAAGTCTGAAAGTCAGAATAGTCTAGTTGGTTACTGTTGTATTCATATTTGTTATACTCTCCCACAAAATATACAGTCACTACACTTTACAGTATACTCTGTGAAGCGCTTTGAGACATCTCCAAGACATGATAAAGCGCTATATCAAATGCAAGAATTATTATTAGTAGTATTTAGTATTATTATTCATAGTCCCTTAATGCTGCCCCCTGACAGGAGCTCACTGGATTAGAGCAGAGAAAACCAGCCAGTGTTCCTACTCCTGAACTCTGTTACAGCACTTTCTACTGGTTCAGCAGATTGAATTTTACAGACCAGGAGTCAGGCCAGTGTGCATGTGTGGCAATCGGGTGGGGAGAGAAAAAGCTTGGCTCTGACACCTTCTACTGCACCTGCTGACACTCACTGCCAAGGCTCACACATGAATAATGCCTACTTGGTGGTGCACCAGAGAGCAGTCAGCAACTCTGGAACTGAACCTCAGGAAGAGAAGGCCGGACCAAGAGCAGAAAGGCAAATGCCAGGGGCGAAAAAATAAGAAATATAATTGGACACACAAAAACAAAGTTAAATATTTGTGGTGGGCCCCTGAATACCACCATAACTGAAAGGAGGAAAAAAATCCATAGAAATAATCATAATAATCCTTGCATTTAATACAGCGCCTTATCAAGTCGTTGACGCATCTCAAAGCGTTCCATAGAATACATCGTAAAATGGATTGACTGTGTATAAATATAGACTGTGCAGCACCGAAACATGACATTTGTTCCAACTGGTCCATGCCAGTGTTTATACTTCACATGACCCTCCACTCCTCATCCCCTCCCACCTTCCTGCCATACCCACTGTTATGGAGTCCTGTAGCTTAATAGTTAGAGCACTCGTATCGCAAGCGAGAGAACCTAGGTTTGATTACCGGCAGAGCGAAACGTTAGGCAAGTTTTGCTTATGCCATACGCCTGTTTACCTAGCAGTAAGTAGGAACCCGGTTGTTAGTTGATTGGCGGATTGCTTTTCCAGGGATAATAATCCCTTCAAAACAAAAATATTTTTTTTTAAATAAAAATAATTTGTCACTAAATCCACGACTATTTGTGGGACACTGCTGTGCGCAATCGGCTGCCTCGTTTCCCCCACAAGACATACAGTCAATTCACTTTACAGTATATTCTGTGAAGCGCTTTGAGACGTTTCAAAGACGTGATAAGACGCTATATTAAATGGAAGGATTATTTATTATTATGTATGTAAATTATGGTCATCGCCAAATTAAATACAAATTTTAGCCAAATAAAAACTGTTTGTTCTTGCATTTCATTATTCTAACCTTTAACAAAGTGCAATTTGTGTCAACTAATGCATTACTTTTGTCTAACCTGTCATGAGCAGAAACAGAGTAAATTAAGAGAAAGTGAAAATGTGTTTTTAATTTTGTTGGTGACATACAAACAGGATACAGTTTGAGCCAAATGCAAGAGGGACAGATGTCTGCCTCACAGTGTTGTGTTGCAATTGAATTAGCTGGATAGATTCATTTCCTGCCATCAGATTTCCAGTTTGTTCCTGTACTTTTTTTCAGACAAATATACTGCCTTAAAGATGACTCAGTGAGCATCACCACAGCTGATTCAGTGTTCCATGTAAGCACCACACCATGAGTTCTCTTTACCAACTCCATCAGGCGCCTCAGCATCTCTTGTCAATGCTGTACATAGTGATGCCATACTTCTTGCAGGTACCATAGTACCATACTAGGATCTCTCCTTTATGGAGCTACTTGGTATGCTCACTTACCTCAGTCTGGGCATTTTTATACTTGACCTGCATTGCAGCCAGTTCACCACGAGCATTTTCGGCTGCAGTACGATAATGGTTCAGCTGCTCACGTGGAACTGGAATTTCCGGCAGCGACTCATAAGTTCCCTAAAGGATGAATATAAATTAATTTTAAATGTGATGTACAAGATCGTCTTTGCAATAGTACCTACTTCTCAGAATTAGTACACAAATGTAATATGTTGAGGTACACTCTCTCCAAATACATTAATAATAATCCTTGCATTTGATGTAGTGCCTATGTCATGCCGCCTCAAAATGCTTCACAGGGAATGTTTATGCCCCTAATCTCTGGAACTCCCTCCCTCTATCCCTCTTTCTTGCCCCGCCTATATGTTTTTAATTCCTACAACTAAAACCTATCTCTTTAATAGTGCTTATAGTTGCCTACCCTTTGCCCTCTCTCCCTTATAAAGCCTCCTAAGACATTACCCCACGTGAAAGGCTCTATATAAATACAAGTTATTGTTCGTGTAAACTGTAGTAACTGTTTGTCTGTTTTAGGTAAACACAACAGTTTCAAACGCAAGGATTATTATTATTTATTATTATTATTGAGTCGTTCCTCATAGCTGATTCCTCCAACACTGGGGGATCAACTATGTTGCTCTCCACTACAGTGCCTCAAGGGCCTGAGCAGCAACCTTATGTGACACCAACTGGAGCCAATGCAATTCTACAGACATGGCTGAACCAAACACTGTACAACTTGAACATATTTTCTGGGCTTCTGATTTGAACTAATTCAGTAACAGAGCCTGGCACCTAGCTTGACTTATTTACCGCCTGCTGTCTCACGCTCTCTTGATTTGGTGAGGAACGAATTAACTATCACCTCTAGTTCTCTTCCAGCTTCCCTCTTGGCGAGTTCTACCTTGCTCATGAAGTACATATGTCTCCTATTTTTACATGCTATATGGAGCAAAATGTTTTGCATTATCTGTATTCAATTTCATTTGCCAGTGATCAGCCTTGATGTATACCCAGTGAAGCTGTTTAAGTAAAATCTTGGCTGCCTCCTCTGATTGCACAACAACCCTCCCCTCCCCCTAGCTTGGTCCCATCTGAAAATGTAATGCAAATCTAGGTCACGTATGTATATGAGGAACAGAAAGAATGCCAGCATTGGCTTCTAGGGCATCCACTCAAAGCACCCCCTCACTAACCAAGATCCTCTTGCAGCTGCTACCTGCTTTCCTCCCTCCAGTACTAATCCATGTGCAGCTTTCACCTTTAGTGCACACTGACCATAGTTTGTAACGGAGTCTCTCGTGTGGTGCTTTATCAAAGGTTGAGGTAGAGTCCATACTCACAATAGATGTACATGTCGCTGCCAAATCACCAACAATTCTCTGCCAAAGCGAAATATAATTGCAGCACAGAATAATTGTTTCTTAAATAGTTGAAAACTATGCAAATGTTGCTTTGTCGTGGTTACAATCAATAAACAAAGTACTGTACTGTATAGTGTTCACATGAAAATTCATGGCAAGGGTGTCACAGATTATTTATTCACCCTGAAAGGTTTGTGGTTTATGTAAATAATTGTATGTAATGTTTACCATTTACTTGGTTGCCACTTCAAATAACTTCTAGTAAGGATGGTCATGTTACTCAGCCTGATTCACAAAGGCTAAGCTTCAAACATAAGCCTGTCGCTAAGCATGAATATTAAGCCACAAGCTGAACCAATGGAAGTTTGTTCACATACAATACAGCTCAACAATGAGCCGCACTTGTGCCCTGAGGCAACACCAGCAGGTGGTAACACCCTTTTGGTTAAAACTACATGAAACTAATGAGTATCAAATGATACAATGGATGCAAAAAACATCTTTCTCTCTCCCTTCCCAGAATAATGAATGTGTAAGAACAGAATCCTAGCAAAACAAAAATGGGCATAGTGGCGTTGGATTATTATTTTGGTCAGCCATGTGTTTGACACATGCGGAATCCCATTACCATGCTTAAAAATATTCAAACCAAATTGAGAGCTCCATGCACTCACACATGGAAATTCCTGTGTATTGGAAGGGAATGCGCACTCTCTCCCTGGAAGGATGCATCCTGCTCACCTAATTCCATAATTCCATAGAGAATCGGGCACAGGCTGGTAAGAGCCAAGGCTTGAGGACCCCATAGTGTGGACTGGGGTACTGCTGGCATTTAACAAGCTAAAACCACAGAGCTTGTCATTGAAAGCACTGCCTGGCACAACATCCACTGCTTCACCTCTAGGATCAAACTACCCATTTGGAGTTTGGCTTGCAGGGTCAGGTTACTCAGTCGTGTTCACAAAGACTAAGTTTAGATATGGTTTTGGTTAACTCATTCAAAATAAAAATGGGATAATGTGGTTCTTGTACCGCTTTAGTGAGCAGACTGAATCTGTCAGTCAGTGTACTGACACTGAGCAGTAGCAGTAATTAAATAACAACAACAACTTAGATTTATATAGCGCCCTCCAAGCCGGACGGCGTCTCAGTGCACTTCACAGTAACGGATCCCGGGACCGAGTCAGGGGGAGGTACTTGAATACAAGGATGAGGATCTTGAAATCGATCCTCTCTGGGATAGGCAGCCAGTGCAGTCTGGCAAGGACTGGGGTGATCGGGGAGCGGAGTTTAGTGTGGGTGAGAATGCGGGTGGCAGATAAATAAAAAAAGTAAGGTGAATAACCATGATGATAGAATACAAGTCCCAGGAAATGATATAATCCTTGCATATAATATAACACCTTTCACGACAGTAAGACATCTCAGAGTGCTTCGCGGGATGACAATAAAGTTGTTCATTTCAAATAAATGGAAAGAGTTGATTAGTTCCAGATCTCTTCACTTCCTGGGAATTTTAGAAATATTATATAATTATTAACAACAGCAACAAGATGACATTTGTATAACGCCTTTCACGTCGGGAGGACGTCCCAAGGCCCTGGACAGTGTACAGCATTTCAGACCCGAGCTGGGGTCAGGGGGGGAGAAGGGAGGGGAGGGGAAGGGGGGTGGCTGATGGCCTGGTCGAAGAGGAGGGTCTTGAGGCGGGACTTGAAGGAGGCTAAGGAGGGGGCAAATTGAATTAAATTGTTAATGGAGATGCAAATTGCATTTCAAGATCATTCTTCCCCTTTATGTTTTTTTTAAAATGATGGGAGCATGAGAATACACCGCCTATTGAAGGCTGCCTTCAAGTGGTGAATTCACAAATTATACTAAAACCACAAAAGCAGGTGAGAGGTTGACTCAGATTAGTAAATTTCCTTCATTATCAATTACACTTGTGAAATCGAAAATTAGCTGCATTATTGCAATACAAATATCTAGCTGCAGTAGAAATGACGCTTTTATCCCCTGAAAAATCATTCAGGTGTCAGTCTGGCTCAGCTGGTAGCACTCTCACCACGAAATCAGAAAGTAGTAGGTTCAAGGCCCACGTCAGGACTTTGAACTCATATAGTCTAGACCGACACACCAATCCAGTCCTAATTGTCAGAGGAGCCATCCTTCAGATATTGTATTAAACTGAGGACCCGTCTACGTGTTCGAGTGGATGTTAAAGACTCCATGGCACTATTCAAAAAGGGAAGCGAGTTTCTCCCAGTGTCCTGGCCAACAATCCCCTAAATAAAATTGGTCATTCACCTCTTGCCTGTTTGTGGGGCATTGCTGTGCACAAATGGCTGTACGTTCGCCTACACAATACAGTCATTATACTTTGCAGTAAATCCTGTGAAGTTCTTTGAGACATCCTCCTGATGTGAAAGGCGCTACATCAAATGTAATAATAATAATAATAATCCTTGCATTTGATATAGCGCTTTTCACGTCGGGAGGACGTCCCAAAGCACT